TCCTTTTGTTTCTATTATGTTTCTGAGATAGGATCACCCTAACTTTGCCCAGGCTGGCCTTGAACTCTTGATCCTCTTGCCTCTGACTCCTGAGTAGCTGGGATGACAGACATGTGCCACCTTACCTGGCTGTGTTTCCTTATTGTCCAACTATAGCTGGGAAGATAATATCATTATGTAACAAAGGTCAGTTCTTAAAATTAGAATAATTATATAATAACCTTTGAAAAAACTAATATATTAGAACAGATGAAAAGGATTATGTTTAAGTGAATCATTTGGTAGCAAGCCATTTCTGGCTCTCAAGCCACATTTCCTATTCTGTAAATGTCCAGCATAAATTTAAAATGTATTATTGTTATTTTATTTATGAAACCAGAAATAATCTTTATTGAAATCTGCCAAATACTAGGTTATGCATTTTTCATGTGGTATTTCCTATCTTCCAAGCTAAGTAGTATTATGCTTACTTTACAGATGAGGAAAGTGATACAGAGAAGATAAAGTGCCTTCTCTTAAGGTCATAGAATTAACTAGTTGTGTACAGTCACATTCTAAAGTAACCATGATGCCTGCACTAGGCATTTATTAAACATAATATGTCAGCATAAAGATTTGCAGTCATAAAATATGCATTACTGGAGACAACCACTGTTCTAAGCTTTACTTCCTTCTGATGTTCATTTCTCTCCATGCAACCAAGTGTTCACAACTGCCATGGCAGATTATAAAAGCTTCCATGCTCTTAGACTGGTCGCTTCCTAGGAGACGATCATCACACTGTTTTTTATACAACACATTTGGGGTTTTCTCTATCATCCAAGAACCACATGTTCCTAGGTAGAATCTCTAGTATGGGCTGAGCTATCGGGATCCCTGGCATAGGACATGCACTGAAGCACTGGCTGATAAGGGGAATATAACCCAATGGCAGAGTTCAGACCGTCACCACCCTAATCCAGAGTCAATCTTTGCATCTCTGAGGGTGGGGTCACTAGACATACTGCAATGTGATGCAATATAATGTACAGATAACATATGATAAATTTTAGCTACATTACTTAACTAGTATCCATCAAAATGAAGTTTGAGTAGCCATCTTTTTTTGTGTGTGTCGTATTAGGGTTTGAATTCAGGACCTCCACCTGAGCCATGGCCCCAACCCTTTTTACTTTAGTTATTTTTTAGATTGGGTCTCAAGAACTTTTTGCCCAGGCTGGTCTCAAACCTAGATCCTCTGATCTCTGGCCTCCTGTTTAGCTGGAATTAGATGTGCACCACCATGCCAGCTTATTCTTTGAGATAGGGTCTCACTAACTTTTTGCCCAGGCTGGCCTCAAACCATGATCCTCTTATCTATGCATCCCAAGTAGCTGAGTCACTTCCCAAGGTACAGAGTCACTGAGTCTGGCCTTAACTTTTTAATTTCTAGTCTAGAAAACATTGCTAAATGCAGGTAAATGACACCATAAAGAAGTAGCTGTACTAATACAACTTTTCCATCAAGTTAGAATCATGAAAAAGAAACTGTTTTGGGATAAAAGAGTCTTCTTGGAAGTAACCAAATGTACTGAGTGATCCTGGATTGGATCCAGGTTTATTAAAGGACAGTTTGGAAAATATTTTAATATGGATTGTGTATTAGACAACATGAATGATTATTATTAACTTTAATTATAAAAATGCTACTTACCTATGCTATTTTTAAAAGATATATAATCAAGTAATAAATAAATATATATATAATTAAGAAATTACACAATTAAGAAATATATAGTAAAAGGGAATAAAATAAAAGAGAAAAATATAAAATGAAAAAAGAAGTATGAATGAACAAATGAAGGGGAAAAGTCTGGCTGAAGACACAGGCTTTGTAATTGAAAACAGGAGTCTAGATGAACTGACATCACCTAGGGCAGTATTGGAGCAAGACAAAGAGTCATGAACCAAGCAGATCATCAATACTCCAAAACCAGATGCTAAAGAACTATCAAAAGTGAAAAAGAGTGGCTAGAGAAATAGGAGGACCATGAGGAGAATAGTAATGGAGGAGAAAGTTTCAGGATGGGTAAGGCAATGAATAATTCCGAATCCTGAGGAGAGATCCAGCTGGATCAGGACTGAAGAGACTAGTCAATAAAAACAGAAGGCTAGTGATGACCTGACTAAGAGGAGTTTCAGAAGTGACTGGAGCAGAAGGCACAGGAGGGAACTGCAGTTGCAGAAGTGGAGACATCACTCCTTACTCAGGGAAGTCTGAAAGATGAGAACCTGCATAAATAATACACAGAGTTCAGAGAGTGAAATTTCTAGTGATTCATGCTAACATTCAGTAACATGTAAGTGCAAAATAGACTGCAAAGAACAGAAGGTGATGGCTGACTTTTAAAATAGAGAATTTCTCTTTACATTCCTCATGGGATAATCATGTAAAATAAGTATCTGTTATTAATTTACAGTATCCTGCAAATTCAATATAACCATAGAAATCTGATATTGCAATCTTATGTATAGATGTGTTTCTCTGTATGAAATGGATTGGCTCCCTTAAGAATCAGATTAAAATATACTTTTTGGAAAAAAACCAAAAGAACAAAATACACATTTAGAAATCAAATAAGTGAATTAGGAAAATCATCCCTGTAAGAGAATGATGGGACACTTATGCTACAATGGGATTTTATTTAGGTTCTATCTTTATAACTAATAAATGAGTTGTTTTGATTTTATTACCCTCTGTACTGAGATATGCAGGATGTACTGAATTAGCCCCATTTGACTGCAGAACTGTCTGCTTGCTCCAAGGGCCTTCTGCTTGGAAAAATGAGCGATATTCTTTTTGGAGGGATATTCTGTGCATCTAGAGAACTCCCAGAAGAGCTGATAATCACACAGCCATGAGGCTGTTTAGCTTCTTTTTCTTTGGGTAGAGGCTGAGATAAGGTCTTACAATTTAGCCCTAGCAACTCTGGAACTTGAGATTCTCCTGCCTCAGCCTCCTGAATGCTGGGATTACAGATGTGTACCACCTTGCCTAACTTTAGCTGTCTTAATGAATACATTTAGAAGACTTGATCTTTCTACATTCTTAAGATCAGCCCAAGTAGCTTCATGGTCCTTAAAAAAAAAAATAAAGAACTTTAAAAAAAAATCAGTGTATTTGTAGAATAAAACTGTATTTCTTTTTTTTTTTTTTTAAAAGACTAGAAGTACAACGTTCTATATATTTCTTTTTTTTTTTAAGACAGGGTCTCGCTGTGTAGCTCAGGCTGGTCTAGAACTCATGATCCTCCAGCTTTAGCATTTTGAATGCTGAGATTAGAGGTGAGCATCACCAGACCTAGCTTACTTCTTTCTTTTAAAACAATTACTTTAGGGCTGGGGATGTAGCTCAGTGGTAGAGCACTGAATTAGCATGCAAGGTCCTGGGTTTGATCCCTAGCACAGCAAAAAAGCCAATTACTTTAAACTAAATTCAGTTAACTTAAATGGAGAAAAATATTTTCTTACCTTAATATATAGAAATAATGTTAATTTTTGGTAATAATTATTCAATATCTCTATCTGATGTATAAAAACTTCAGACTTTCAAGTAATGGAGTAGTTTTCTTAAACTTACATTGCACTAATAACAGCAAATAATAACAGGAGGTTGTGTGTGTGTGTGTGTGTGTGTGTGTTGCTAGGGAATTGAACCCAAGACCTCAGGCATGCTAGGCAAACACTCAACCACTGAGCTTCAACCCTATCCTTTTTTTAAAAAATTTTGTTTCGAAACAAAATTATGTTGCCCAGGCTGTTTTCTAACTAGTGGTCCTCTTACCTCAGCCTCCCAAGTAGTGGGGAAGCTGGAATTACAGATGTGTACCATCACGCCCAGCTGGACACTTTCAATATATGCTGAGTACCAGTGAAGTAAATGCTATTTATCATCATTCTCATTTTACAGATGAAGAAACAGATTAAATCCTACTATATCTAAACTAGTATAGATTTTAAAAACAAGCTATTTCATAATATGATGAATTTTAATACAAATTCCAAAACAATGATACTCAAAATCAAAGCTAAAAATGTGGTTTTGTGAGTTATGCTGTCGCAAATTTAGAGAAACATGGGAATGGTATGGACAAAATAAATACTAGTTTCACAAGCAATGTGAATATACCTGAACTGTCCAATTAAAAATGGTTAAGATGATAAATTTTATGTCATATGCTTTTAACCACAATAAAACCCAACAGCAATGCTAGCTTTGTCAGAAAAGTATTAAAAATATTCTTCACTGTAATACTTCTCAAAATAGAAATTTCTTGCTTACTTACAATATAGTAAATCTAACAGATTTCTTCCATTATTATGGATTATTTTTCTACAGTTTATGAATTAAAATCTACAGATATTTTATAGAAATAACATACAAATATAGTGCAATACTAATAACTGCATTCTACCTCAAGCATAAAATTATCAAATTCTCTATAATTTTTATAATCACAAAAATATTTAAAAATTGAGATTGACATTAAATATAATTGTGGCAATATAAAAAGATTTGAGAACTAGGTTTTACATCTGAGATTCACACTGCATATGTTTTAGTTACTTCACCTCTAAATTCCATGTTCACTATTGGAGAAAAAGGTCATTCTGTGATTTTCAATTGTTTTTTCTCAGTAGAGGCAGTCTAAAAAGTGTTCAGCTATTATGTATCCAAAGGCCCCTGAGAAAGAAAAGTGGGATGGTCTGGGGCCCTATAGAGGTTAACAGAAATTAGTAGAAATATGTTCTAACAAGAACAGTTATAGACTTTTCTGATAGCTCAGAGCAGCAATAAAAAAAAAACACTATTATTGAATCTAGTCTTCATTCTTATGATTTACATAATCCCAAATAAACCTACATGTATAAATGACTACACTGAGACTAGATTCAGGAGGCTTAAAACTATTTTTAAAACAAAGACTTTTGTTAATTATATTTGTAAACAGTCTTCTCACCTGCGTGGCCTAGTCCTTGGGGACATCATTTCATTGCCGAGTATGTGGTACCGTCTTGCTTCATGCAACAACTGATAACACTCGGGAGAGTTCTGGATCAATTGGTCCACCTCAACTGTTTGAACGAAGTAGTTGGGATGCAACAAAGGGAGTCTCACGTGTGTCAGGAGCTCGTGTAACAGTGGTCTTCTCAGATCAACAGCGCGATAGACCCAACGCATGACGGCTTCAAAAACCATCTCCTCTTTACCAATGACAAGTTCATCACTACAAATATAATCAATGAGTTCATCTTTGTCGAGCTCAAGAAATTCTTCATGCTGGGACACATCCTCAAAAGTCTGTAATGCAAAGGTCTTGCACTTTGTGAAGAGTGTTTTGAGAGAATGGGTGTCAGCAAAGCGCTGGATCCCTAAGCAATTACAAGGATCAAGTTGCTCCTCCAAGAACTTGGCACACGCATCACGGAGAACACTAATCTGAAAGAGGCTTGAGGTCTCAAAGAGATACTGGACATTCTCTGTAGTGATCTTCACCTTTCCAGTATACACATACTGTAGAAAACATTCCATGGCTTCAGCTAAAATACCATTGATTTCCACCAACATCTCTCGGCTCTCCCTGTGGTCGTTACAAAACATGGCTCTGAAGTAGCTACTACAGGCTGAGAGGACTGCTCTGTGGCAAGGAAACTCTTTTCCTTCCACGCAGATGATTACATCAGTAAATAAGCGGCTGTCTCGGAATTCATTAAATATCTGGAGGATGTTTTCAGCATGGGATGATCCTGAAGAGAAGTCAAAAAACTCATGACCTGTCAAAGATTTGGGGTCCATTTCAAAAACTTTACGCTTAGTTGCTGGGGAATCACGCACCCCAAGATCCTCTCTGTTTAGTCTGCGTCCCAATATTAGTACCATTGTTACATCAGTTGACTATATAATTGTTGAGAAATGACTGGTAGGGATCTTCTTGATGGGGCTAAAAGTAAGAACGATGAGAACATTTCAATATGTAAAAATTCAGTATTCAAATTACATAATTTCATTTTGCTACAAATAAAACAAAACCAGGAGAGAAATATATTTCACATGGGCAAAGGGCACTGTCTCATGTTAATAAAAACTGATAAACACAAACTTGCATTTGCATGATTAGAACATTAGGAGTTACTTCAATGGTACTCCCGAGGCTCCGCAGCTGAAAGGACACCATGTGTTTTTGATCACTAAAACTTCCCACCTCCCGTTTTGTACAGCTGGGTTTCATTCTACTTAACTGAGGGCAGAGGTAAGTCACAATGGTGAAAGACAGAATTTCAGTACAATCAAAATCCTAATATAAAGTTACTGTCTTAATGTAGCATTGCTAGAGAGGAATTTAGCTTTACCTATTAACAGACATCAAAAACATTTATGTTGTCTGACCAGCATCTCTTTCTAGCAATTTCTCCTAAAGAAATAATAAAAAATATATGGAAAGGCTTATCTACATAGATGTTTAATACTTTCTTTTTTTTTTCTTTTTTAAATGAGACAACCGGAGTTTGCACTCAGGGCTTCTTATTTAGTAAAGCAGGCACTCTACCCCTTGAGCCATACCTCCAGTCCATTTTGCTCTGGTTATTCTGGAGATGGGGGCGGGGGGAAGGGTCTCTTGAGCTATTTACCAGGGCTGGCCTTGAACCACTATCATCCCCATCTCAGCCTCCCATAGAGCTAGGATTACAGGTGTGAGCCACCAGCACCCGCCTAGATGTTTAATACTTTCTAATTAACAGAAAGTGCTTAAAACAACCTAAAAGCCCCACAATAGGAATTAGATAAATCACAGTACACCTTCTGGATGGAACACTTTTTGCAACCATTAAAAAACACGTAGACTAGTGACACTGAGAAGTATTAGCCAGATAATAAGTGAAAAAAAGCAGATCACAGAAATATGCTAACCCAAAAATCTGTTATATATTAGTGCACCTGGGGATAGAAAACAGGAGGAACATAAGCCAAAAGTTAAATGATTTATTCACCTTCTCTATTTTCCCCCAAATTTCCATTATAAATAGGTAGTACTTTGTTTTAAAATTTTTAAAATGTATGTTTTCTTGGCCCTGCTCCCTTTTACTAATAAGATATAGTCCCACGCTTCCAGGGATGACTAAGTAACCATGGATTTAGGCACTTGGCTATAGGTATCAACTCTCTTTATGCTAATTTTAAGGGAGTTCTTTTATTCTTACTCTCTTTCTACACCTCCAGGAGGTGATAGATGATCTGAAAGTGTATAAATAATTGGTTAAGAGTACTTGAAATTATCCTCATCTATTCCTGTAACCTCAGAATCTCATACACAATCATTTCTAAAGGTCCCAATGTGTTCCTAAAATATTTAAGTCATTCAGGTCTAATCATGGCAGCAGCAGTAAGTTAGCTAAAGGATATCATGGATAATCCAAAATATGGGCTGCCATCTTACATTCACAAGCCACAAATTAATAATCTTATTGTAAGACTATTATGTGTACCTTTGTCACATATCAAGTTGTACTCCATTTTAAAAACCCATAAGTGACATAAAGGAAAACAAAATATATGATAAAATCAAGAAGCAACTCACTTTATTGATCTTTTTAAAATTATTATTTTTTTTTTTTTGCTATACTGGGGTTTGAATTCAGAGCCTCACACTTTCTAGGCAGGTGTTTTCCCACTTGAGCCACTCACTCATTTTATTATATTTTCTCTTTTCCATGTTATTAACTTTGTCTTCTAGTTCAACTAGTGTAATTGCCCCCTGATATCTTAGTTTCAATATTCACTAGATACTTCTAGCTTTCATCAATTCTCTCACTGAATTTACTTATTTTTGTTGCTTCCATCACCATCAGGAGCCAACATTCATGATTAGTTTTAAAATTTACTACCACTTACCGATTAGAGATCATGTTTGCCTCATTGTAATCATCGAATTTCTCCGATTATGGTTGTCTATCTATGTGTGTGCACGTCCTCATGTATATTAATGTATGTACAGGCTAAAATATAAAAATCTATTTATAGTGCATAAACTCACTTCCAAATTCCAAGTTCTCATATCTAGGCAGTAGCACATATATCAAACCTGGTTTCATTTGAAACTATCTTAGTAATACTTCTATCCTCAGAAATCTAGCCCACATAGAAAGGAAGATCACCACTGTGCCTGAATGTCAACTTTGTTGTTGTTACAACTTAAGTAATACAAGTGATAAAAGGGGGACATTTGAATTATGTCAACATAAACTGCGGTGACATGGACTTTAACTTGTATTTTGTTCTTAATGCTTTATTAATCTAGACTCAAATTATGATTGAATTAGCCACAAATCAGCTTCCTAAATCAAGAACTTATTCATTGCTTATCTAATTTAAGTTCTTATACATTTCAGTTCAAAAAATTCACAGGAACTATTGTGACTTTGACTTGTGATACAATTACTGGTTGTTAACAATAAAATTCTTGGTCTATCTCCCTCCATACGTTTTTTATTTCTTAATGTTTAAATGAAAATGTGTTCAGAATGCAAAACAAAATAGCTTATTGGAAGAACTAAGACTTTCCCTTTGGTTAAAATAGACAAGTAGGAAAACATACATAAAAGGATACTTTGCCTTCTGTATTCAATGATCTTAATGTATCTAGTATTAGGTCAATTTGGGGATAATATATTAAGTATTAATATGAGGCTGATTAAAACTTATAGGAGTTAGAGGTCTGTCTTTTTATGCTATTTTCTGCCCCTATTTTCATAGTTGCTTCCTTGGCTTGTTGACTGACAAAGAGGTCAAACTCTCCACTGATTTTACCCAAAGAAAAATGGAAAATCCTGGGTTAGAACACTAATAAAATCACATGGGATGACAGAGTATTCAAAAGCAACAACATACTTGTTTACTGCTGTTAATGTAAGAGAGAGACCATCTCATGACTTCAGAGATCTTTCTAAGAAGATTTGTCCTGCTACCTCCTTGCTTTTTGAACAGTTTGCTTTCTCTGAACTTTCTAAGAACTCCCCATTAACCGGTCTTCACAATAGCACCAAATATGAACACTTTCTGTTTTTGACAGGGTAAATGATCTGCGCAAAGGCATCTTAGGAATGTGACATGCATTATGAAGTATAACTTTTGGGCTTCCAGATGTAATTTATTAGCTTTTACCTTCCCATTTTATATAAATCAAGTATTTTCACTGGTAATGATTAAAAATATAAGCAAAAGTTTAATCATATCTCAAAGTACAGTATTTAACATAGGTTCAGTGTTTATCATAAATGAACTCATATGTACCAAGCAAACAGAACAATTACAGATTGAACTCTTTTAAAAATTTTGCAAATTTAAAAGCAGGAAGGAGTAAGCAGTGATTAAGTAGGCATCTGTACAAAACATGTAGGAAATTCATTGCAAAGAAAAGTAAGGAATGAAAGTCATGTCTAGACAAGGTAGAGTGATCAGACTGCTGTATCACTGACTGGCTACCAAAGTTATATGATTTGTCTGGCAAAGTGAGCATCCCCTCTTCCTTGTCCTCATTTTTTCAGGTACTTTATTCCTGGAGTTAGACTGTCACTTGAAAACAATGGTCTTTTAAAAGATTCTTCTAGTTAAGGATACTTGAGGGCTTACTTGCAACTGCAGAACTCGTAAGTGTTGTAGATTTATTTTCTGATTGCTAGGTAAATTTAAAATTACACGCATTTGGACTATGTCCCAGAAAAATAAGTGGAGACAACCTATTTTGGTATCTTTGTGACTGGAGAAAAATGCAGAAGAGGAACTGAGGCTCTCAGAAAGGAAGAGAAAAGACTGGGCAAATATTTAGTAACAGGAATGACTGTGACACTGCCTTCCTTTATGAGCTTAAGGACACAGTTGTTCCTTGTTATTCTGATTGCTGTTATGTGACCCTGGTTAAAGAAAATGGTTTAAATTCTCTAGTAACAATCTTTATGTAAATTTGTAATTATTATGAATATACCTTTTTAGCATTTGCTTGATCAAAGCCCTATTCAAAATATTTGTGTTAATTTCTACACCTAAAATAGAGAACAGCAACATATAAATCAGATACTAATCAATTCTTGTACAGTTGGCATTATTTATCGCTATGTTGGAAAAAATTCTTAAATTCCAACTTATGACTAGAAGTTCACTTTTACATTGAAAATCATTAAGAATAACACTTCCAGCCTGATGGAATGGCTCAAGTGGTAGAGTGTGAGGCTCTGAGTTCAAACCCCAGTAATGAAAAAAAAAAAAAAACCAAACCCACCTCCTGAAAGCAAATTAATTCATTTTATTTACATATAAATTAGTTTTACCAACTTATCCTGAGGTAATATTTCTTGAGTTAAAGTCTTGAGTGAAAGATGAATAAACAAATATCCATGGGTACAGCAAGCTAAATGTGGCACTGAGATGAAAGAAATATATACCCTGTGGCTATACTACTTTGGATATATGAAGAGTATGTTTCATGCAAGCTTGGAGCCATTCAATAACTCTTAAGTTGGTCTATGAATACTACCAAAAGTAAACAGTAAACCTACATTATAACTATGGAATGAAGTTGAGAAAAATCTCAAGAATCTAGGAAAAAAAACCCCTAGCTTTAAAATCCTTACTTAAAAGGGTGGGGGGAAGGAAATGAAAGAGAAAGATGGAGGGGGTGAATCTAAGATATATTGTAAGCAATTTTGCTAATGTCACAATGTACCCCCAGTACAACTATAATATGCTAATAAATATATAAAAGGAAAAAACTACAACGGTGATACAGGAAAAAAAATCCTTACTCAGGTTTTTTTAATACAGAATCTATTATCGTATAAACAGACTTAATCTCTATAGAAACCAACTAATTCAGAATAATTACTTTTTCTCCCCTTGGGTGGAAGGAGAGGGGCATCTAAGAGAAACTACCAGAACTTTGAATTGTGT